ATTCAGGGTGTGAAATTTACAAAATCAACCAATGAACAGATGATATTCTTAATCTGCAAATATCCCTGAAAATTGGGAAAAAATAAGAATGATTTACTATTTCATCGGCTCCTCTTTTTTCGATGGTTTTCATATATCTTTCTCTTGCACTTTCAAGAGACAAAGATGTCGTTTAAGCAAACAGAAGGCAATTAAAATAGAAAAGAAAAGTAATGATGCAAAAAATTAATAGCTATTATTTTCCTTAGATATCCTATGTTTCTCCTTAGGATCCCAAATGGCCATGGTGATGACAATTCCCCTTCAGAAAACATAATCCTTTAGCCAAACTGGAGCTTTCCTTGTTTGATATTTGTACTTTTTGGTTCGCTCTAAATGTTGCTCTTGTTGAATGGTGATGCAGGGTGTTGTGCCGCAATATTTGCCTCAGACTGGTTTGGTCCAGGCAAAGGAGAGACCGACCAGTCCTTTCAGGCATGGGCTTCTCTCCAATTTGGAGCGGGGTCCACTCTTCTTTATATATACATGTCATTTCTTTTTGTTTAGGTTAGTTTTTTTTGCATATTTTTCATGTCGGGATAGCAGTCAGTGTCTCCAGATTTCTCCTTCTAGAGCTATATTCAAATGTGGGTGGTGCTCCGACTGTAGCTCGTCTGAGGTGTTGATTTTCTTCCAAAAGTCCAATTGTGCTCCGGCTATAGCTCATTCCTGAAAGAGTCTTTATTTTCCCCAGCTCCATTGCCACATTTCCTTGCTGCAGTCTTGCAAAACAACACTTTACTGTTCCTGTACCCACAAACCTCCATTGCTTTTCCCAACCATTCCTACCACCCTTAACTGCCTCTACTGCTACCACCTAGTCGTCCACCCCTTCACCTCGCCGCCGTCAGCCCCCAAACAGTACACATCTGCTGTTTGTTTAGTTATTTTCTGCTGTTCCTCATTCCCACACCTGCAGCCACCCACCCTTTCTCGCCCCAATCACAACCACAACGTACCACTTCCCTGACACCCCTATGCTCCAACTTGCAGGATCTCACCTCTTCCCATCGCCACTACTTGTTGCCACTCCACTGCAGTCCCCCATTCCAACCTGCAACCCTCGAACATCAGCTAATCATCGTCCTTCCATCCCGCATAACCATCTGTCTTCACCATTAGCTGACAACCCTAGTCAAGGGAGTGTTGTGTTTGTTGTTGTTATTTCCCTTTCAATATTTTGTTGTATTACCTATTAACCTTCCAGTAATAATATTGTTTGCTTCGTATTGTTAATTTCGGTATCATTTGGTATCAAAACTAGCTCAGCCTTAGTTCTATGATAGTGTTCTAGCACTCTCCTACAACCAACCCTAACTCCACTCAAATTTTTTTTTCCTACCTTACATCACCTGTACACACCTCCCTTCCAGCTGCCCACACCCCAACCCTTATCACGTCGCCAAGGAGACAATTATCGAAACTTGATCAGGATTTTAGCATGGATGGGATGCAGCGGGAATTCTGTCGAGTGCTATAATGGCTCGCTGAACTAGTAGAAAGGACCTAGGAAGAGTCACCGTCGAGCATGGTGGTGAGTTTTGACAAGGAGAGAGAGAAACATCTGAATCCCTTCCGACCGCGATGTTTTGAGATACATTATCAGAGGAGCCGAGTGATGAAATGTTTATTACAGGATATAGAGATGAAGTGTCTGTTAGAGGATATAGAGGAAGTGCATGCTAGAGGATATATAGATGAAGTACCTGCTAGAGGGTACCGAGGCTCAGGAGTGAAAATGGACTTACTAGATTTCAAGGGGAAAATGAATCCATATATTTTATAGACCGGCTGCAGACCGTTGTGAGGGCCTTTGAATATAAGGAGATGTGATGTCTGAAAGGTGAAACTAGCTGCTATCAAAATGAAGAAGTGTATCTTGTTGTGGTGGGAGAACCTGAAGAGGGAGAGAAATAGAGGATGGAACAAGATTACTACTTGGGAGAAGATGTAAAGAGAATTGCAGTGACAATATCTACCTCCATCAACCGTCAGAATCTTTGCTTTAGGCTCCACTACTTGCAGCAGACGAAACTATCAATAGAGTACACCTTGGAATTCATACAGCTTAAGCTGAAATGTAATTTGACAAAGCCAGAGGAGCACATGATAATTAGGTATTTGGGAGGTCTGAAACTCGCCATTAGCAACATGGTTCAACTACAATCATATTGGACTTTGGGTGACGTTCAGACTTGACACTAAATGTGGAGGGACAACCGAAGCAGAGCAGACACCCACAACCATTCAGAAAACCACCGACAGATGGAAACATCAATAGGAGCACATCTAAGACATTTGAGAAGTTTGATCAGGAAAATGATAGAGTTATCTAGAGTGAGAAGAAGTCTGAGAAGATCAACACGTTTACTACCGCCTGCTAGGAAATGTTTTAGATGCTATGCGTTTGGACACATCATTTTCAGTTGACCAGTGAGCCGAGTTGTGTTCTTCATCAAGAAGGGTGCACTGAAGGAAGTTAGCAACGAAGAGATAACTGAAAGCAAGAGCAACTATCAACTTCTACCGGATGAGGGTGAGATGTTTGTGATTTGACTGGTCCTACAGAGGGATCAACAGTGGCTTTGATAAAACTTATTCCACACCTGATGTATTATAAAAGGGAAATATATGCAGTCTCATCGTCGATGGAGGTAGCAACAAGAATGCGACGTCTACACAGATGACGAACAAGTTGAGCATTATTACTCATTGGCATTTCTAGCCATACTCCCTAATGTGATTGAAGTGAAAGAACAATGTCAACATTAACAATGCCTTGTGGAGTTCTTAATCGGGGATTAGTTACAGGATCAGGTTTGGTGTGATGTGGTGCCCATGGATGTTTGTCACCTTTTGTTAGGGAGACCGTGATAGTTTGATCGCCAAACTCAGCATTACAAATTCTAGAACACCTACTCCTTCACTAAAGATGGCAAGCACATAGTCCTATCTTCTGCAGGGTTCGAAATTACATGTGTTCTTGCCAGTACAAAAGTGCCAATTGGATCAGTTTTCGCTATGACATAGGACATCGAGATAGAAGAGCCAGTTATAGACACAAGCTAGCTAGTATAGAGAGAGTTTCAGGACATCCAGTTTGATAGTTTACCGCCATGGCCGCCATCGTTTTAGAAGATTCAAGCTGCCCTCAATTAAGATCAGGTTGAGCCAACCTTGTTTTACTATGGGAGGATTTAACAGAACATACATAACATGAAGTCCCAGCTCGTTTCAGTAGCGTACTCCCAGAAGGTTGGGTGGTTATGGATGTATGCTCACAAATGAAAAAAATTTCTCGGGTGTTTTAGAGGATAGTGCATTCGCCAGTGGGAACTGGGAGCATCTCGGGTCACAGCTGAAGATCCTTCAATCCTGGGAGGTTACCACAACCCAACCACCTTTAACACGAAAACAAAAGTTTTGACGACTGAGGTCAAAGCTCTCCCAACATTGGGAAACTGACGTGGAGCGTTCACACCCCAAACACAACGAGTGCCGCGATAGTTGCGCTGGATCGGCTCTGTCTAGGCATAGGATCGACTGCCCTTCCATGCATGGGCTTTCCTCTTATTTGCAGGGTGGTCCACTCTTCTTGAGCCCATGTCTATAAATATGTTATTTCTTTGTTAGGCCAATACTTTTTGCATATGTTTTTTTGTTGTGATAGCCGTCGGCGTTTCCATATTATCCCTTCTAGGGCTGTATCCAAAGGCGGGTTGTGCTCCAACTGTAGTTCATCTGAGGTGGTGATTTTATTTCAAGGATTGAGTGGTGTTCCAGTTGTGGCTCATTCCCGAGGGAGTATTTATCCTTCACCAACTCCGCCGCCACGTTTCCTCGCTGCAGTCTCACAAAACAACACTTTTACTGTTCTAGAAGCCACTAACCCTCCATTTTGCCCTTCCCAACCATTCTGGCTGCCCTTGCCACCCTACTGCTAGCACCTGGCTGTCCACCCTTCAACCTTGCCGCTGACAGCCCCTAAACAACATTTATGCTATTTGTTCAGCTGTTTCCTGCTGTTCCTCTTTCCCACACCTGCAGCCGGACACCCTTTTTCTTTCTTCCCATCACAGCTGCAACCTACCACTTTCTTGACACCCCCATCTTCTAGCTTGTAGCATCCCACCTCCTCTCATCATGCTACTTGCTGCCACTCCAGCGCAGTCTCTCCTTCCAACCTGCTGCCCTCCAATAGCAACCAACCGTCACTTGTCCATCCCGCATAACCACCCGCTTCACCTTTGGCTTACAACCCTAGTTGAGGGAGTGTTGCATCTGTTGTTATTATTTCCCTTTCAGTGTGTCGTTGTATTGCCGATTGTCTTTTCCAGTAATAATATTGTTTGTTTATTGTTATTTTGGGTTAACTCCGGATTAATTTTTCTTAATTCAAGTTCTCAGGTTCTCGATCCGATAGTTCCAATTGTCGTGGTAAGGTTGTATCAACTGCTGCTATTCGTGGACATAGTGGACATAGCATGATTAGTTTGGGATTGCTTTTACCATTGATATTTTATTGAGAGTGTGTTTTTCTACTCAAACCAAATTCGATTGTAAGGTCATGTTATGATTTCTTTAGCTATTGTACTATCGGGTTGAATTTTTGTTTAAATTTAGGAAAGCAATCCATACAAACTTCATTAAATTATCTATTGAAAGGCGTGTTTCTGATATATAGTTGTTACAGAGGTCAATCAATGTTAGCGGCAATGGATATGGCACACTCTTATAGTATGTAGTTTTGCTATTGGTGTGAATGTTTAATGTATTTAATTCCATAAGTTTTTATAAGCCCTTAGACTATTAACTGGGTTTTATATTTCATAAGATTTTCATCTTATTTAAACTTCATAGAAAAGATTCACTTGCAATCAGTAATAGTGTGTAAATGTTTAATGTATTTCATAATTTTTTATTTTCATATGATAACATACTGAACTATTCTTTTGCATCAGACCCTTACAAAGCTTCGCTTTTCAAGGACTGCACTGTCAGATGTAGAAAAGGATGCTTTTAAGGTAAATTTAAGGTCATTCATTGTTTTTTCTTACGAAGAAAAAAAATTCGGTTGATTTTGTTTCTTGCAGAGGATTTTGGAACAAGATGATTTTATTACAATTAGAGTGCCTTCTAATGTGCTGAATCCTCCTGGAAAAGGCTATATTATGTCATCTGTCCGAGCTGTAAGTTCATTAATCTTTTGTTCTATACCGTTAATATGCACATTTTCAAAAACAACCATAAGGATTTGTCATGCATATTGTAATCTAACATCTTTTTCTTCAAAGTAGTGCTAAATTTCTCATCCGGATGCCTGTTTAATTATAAGCCAGTTTTATGGTCTTCTCTGTTTGATATAAATTTGAAGAGGATAACTAATTCATGAAAGTTTAATATTAAGAAAATTTTATGTTAGATGGGAACATGAAGCTCTCAAGTGAAATGAGGGACTTGTTGGATTCCCCTAAAATTTATTGGGATGTCGGAGGAGAATCTGACCTTTTTATTAGCTTATATATATAATAAAGAAAATATACAGATAGAATGGATGAGAGGGCCCATAAAAGGCAGCCTACTCACACGGTACAATACACACGAAGATCTCAAAAAAGAAAAGATACATGTTAACCCAAAAAAGAAAAAACAGCCGAATCGCAGAATCAAGTAGCTAGGGAACGACCCAATTTGGTCCTGCCTCTGCCTCTAGTTCTAGGAAGGGAGTCAGCTAACAAATTGTTGAGTACTGTGTCATTACCCGAACTGACTAAAGTATCATCCATTAAGTTCCTAAGCTCGAGTGGACCTCTATTCTTCTTCTTTCTCCTGGATGTGTAAACCTGTCATTCCTCATCCGAAGACTGACTCATCTTATCAGTTTTGATCGACAGATTGTCGGGCATGTATAAGCTGATGAGCCCCTTGAGCTCCTTGCGCCTGACAAACAATAACCACTTGCTCTGTTTGATGAGGTGGTAGATGCGCAGTAGAAACACTGATAGGCTCTGGGGTATATGAAGTATGTAATGTCTCCTCTGCACATAGGGCTTCCCGAGGGTGAGGAGTTGTGACGTGTTCCAGCTGCGCTAAACCATCCGACAACACGTCACTCACAGAAACAGAAACAGTATTAATAGGGGGTGGATCTCCGGTGGTAAGAGGGTTACAGGCGGCAATGACAGGAGAAATGATATTTAGAGGAGGGAGAATGGGAGGAAGAACATATGGCGTTTCAACCTATGTTTCAATAGCCAGTGGATTGCACTCAGGGGTGGAGGGGCAGGTGTGAGTTGGGGCAGTGGGCTCAGTAACATTCTTACTCTGAAGTTTTAAAGGAGGATGCCTATGGTGACATTGAGAGTGAGAGTGTCCAAACATATGACAGTGGGTGTAGTAAAGTGAGACCTGTTCAAGTTCCACCCGCCATCAAAAACCCTGATGCTGTGAGCCAATCCAGATCTTCCACGGAAAAGGTAAAGTAATGTCTCGTTCAATCAAAACTCTGGCTTCAGAAGGCCTGCTCCGATTAAGTGTAGGAATATCAATTATGAGGGGTTTACCGTATACCCAAGCTAAGGAGTAAAGGAGCTCATGATTGAAGAGATGAAACTTTAAATCTGGAAAGCACAGTCATACAGGGATGGTAGGAGGTTCAGTGGAAGGATTAAAGTCGACCGTCCATTTTAAAACTTTCATTACACGGTTATCAATTCGAACGAGCCTTCTCACAAATAAATGAGCATAATCTTCATCGTTTGATAATTGGATAAGAACATGTCTTCTGCCCAGTTTACCAATCTTTCATTCCCCTTTCAGACGGATTTTCTCAAACTCTTTTCGAATTACCTCGAGTTAAGGGTTTACGTAGAGGAACTTTCCAACTAAGACCAACCGGCAGGATGAAGCTAAGGCGGCGATCTCGGCGTCAGAGAGAAAGATTGCAGGATTACCATTTTTACAGGATCCTTTTTTTAGAAATCTGGTGTCAACGCCCAGAGCTAGAGGGTCATGGTATCGCTGCGGGAACATACTCGAAGAAGGAGCGCAAGTGATGGTGTCGCCAACAAGAGCGGCGACATACGAAATTCCCGAAGCCATCAACACTTACAAGAAGAGGAGCAGAGGAAACCCCACTTCTGTGTCGCTCTGCACCGCAGACGGTGCCCGACCAAACGCCACACAAAACAGCTGCGGAGACGCTCGACGAAGTCGAGGCAAATTGAGGCGAAGGCGAAAGCAAAGCATACGCTCTGCACAGGAGACGTCACGTGACCAAAGCCGCACGAAATAGTCGCGGAACAAACGATGCGCGACGAAAGTCGAGGCAAAGACGATGCTGCACGACACAGACGAAGCACGATGAAAGGAGGAAACACGACGAAGAGCAAATCGACGAAACCTTAGCAAAGCGAAATCGAAGCAGAAGACGCCATATAAAGAATAATATATATACATATTAGAAAAAGCCCAAGGGCTAATATATTAGAACAAAAAAAATACAGAAAAGTTGTATGGGAATGCCTAAAAGAAAGCCCAACTCACACAATATAACACACACAAAACCCAAATAAAACAAAAATACATAAAGGTAAAAAACCAAAAAGTCATCAAAGGGCGCAAAAGTGCTAGGGAAGTCCTACTTTAGTCCTCCCTCTGCCTCTAGTTCTCGGAATTAAGCCGGCTAACAAATAAGTAAGGTGAGTGCCATTGCCCAAAATAACCAAAGTATCATCCATCAAATTCCTTAGCTCAAGTAGGACTCCATTCTTCTTCTTTCTTCTGGATGTGTAGAACTGTCATTCCTCATCCGATGGTTGACTCATCTGATCAATAAATTGTTCCAAAGTTGGCCGGACAGGTGTAGACTGTTGCACAACATTATCCCCATGAACATGAGTAACAATTACATCTTGCTCCACCTGATGAGGCGGTAGTGAAACAGTAGAAGTATTGCCACCTGTAATAATGGTGATAGGTTCTAGGGCAAGTGAGGTCTGAAGAATCTTCCTCTCATTCACGATAGGAGGTTCCAAAGACGGCTGAATGTTTGTCATATTGCCTGCAAGAATAGTGACGTCTTCGAGGGTATCATTTTGATGATCAATAGTGTCAATAATTTGGAGCTCATCAAGAGGAGAGAGGAGATGAAATTACTGCCTCTGGTGGAGCACTGTGCTTTTTTGGTCTCAAGAGGAGATGTTACTGCCTCTGGTGGAGCACTGTGCTTTTTTGGTCGAAAGTGTGGATGTAGATAGTGTCATTGAGAACTGGAATAACCGAACATATGACAGTTTGAACAATACGAAGAAAAATATTAAATATCTACCTTTTGTCAATACTCATGATACTGTGTGTCTAACCAAATTTTCTCAGAAGCAGATGGAGTGATGTCTCTTTCAACAAGTACTATGACTTCCGATGGACGAGAAAAATTAAAAGTAGGAATGCCCGTTTTGAGTGGCTTACCATAAGCTGAGGTAATAGAGTACAACACTTTTTGAATAAAATAATGAAATTTCAGTAATGAAAATTCAGACCAGGGAGGCGAATCCAAACCTGAATGATTGGAAGTTTCATCTGGGGGTCAAAATCCACAAACAATTTCAGAATCTTCATTGTTCTGTTATCAATCTAAATTATCCTTCTAGCAAATAAACGCTTGTAATTCTGTTCATTATTAATTTGTATGAGAATGTGTCTTCCAATTTTCCACTCCCTAACTAGGTGCATAAGCTCAAATCCCTTACGAATTAGCTCCATTTTGGGATGGCCATACAAAAATTTCCTGACCAAATCCAGTCGACAGGAGGAAGCAGGTTAAATACCTCCAGCTTTTGTAAAAAAATGGACGGTTTTCTCATTCTTCTCATTAGGTTTCTTGATATTCTCCTCCCATTCAAACGAAGGAGGGAAAATAACAAGATTTACGTTTATCTGAGGCGTGAAGCAGCATACGATCTGTCCGAAGCCATTCCCAATAGATGGAGGTGCGGCGTTAAGAACAGTGAAGAAAGCAAAGAAGAGAGCAAAGTTCGAATCCAGAAAACTGGTCGAATCCAGAAAATAGGGAGCAGGAGTGGAAACCCTTTGAAGAAGCCCTACAAATTAGTTCAACCAGAACGACGCACTTCAGCCTCCAACAAACAGACGAGGAGCGGAAATCCCAAGCCCTGCGAAATCACAATGCCCTGTAGTCTACAGCGAACAGGACATAGCCCGCTGAAATCGCAGAAGCAGACACGAACAACGAGGACCCTTGCGCAGCCTGCAACAAACAGACGAGGAGCGGAAACCCTTTGACTGCGACTTCAGCTTGAGCAGAACGACGCCCTTTAGCCTGCAGCAAACAGACGAGGAGCCCTGCGAAATCAGCTCAAGCAGAAACGACGCTCATATTGAGAGCCCCTGCAAAATTAGCCCCAGAAGAAAGCGACAGACAACGCGAGAAGCCGACGACGAAGGTGAAGCAGAGACACGAGAGATATCGAAGCAGTAGACGTTAGGGTTCGCCATGAGGCGAAACCTTAGTAGAGCGGAGACGCGACACATCGTGTGTGTGTGTGTGTGTGTCTATATATATATATATATATATATTTATTTCAAGCGTTTTAGAAAAAGAATAAGATATATTTGTTTGTATATTTCTTTAAGCAGAAGTGGCCTTACTAATGTGAAAATCATCTAATTCTATTTTTGATTAAATGGTTTTTATATATTTTTTTTGTACGAACTTTAAAACTTGGCGCTCATGCTTGCACTAGTCTAGTGTCAACAAGAGAGACCCATCCAAACATTTTCTACTGAAAAGGCGGCAGGCGACAACATTTTACATTAAGCTGTGTGTTTTAAATTCGATCAAATCAGCCGAATTTCAAATTTCAAAGAAAATGAACTAATGACTGAATTTCTAATACAATATTATTTTACATTGAATTTGAATTTCTTCCAAACAAACTTTGGATTTCAAAATTCATTAATTTGAAATGCAATATACCCCTAATTTGGCCCACCAAACATCACCTTAATAAAATCTCAATTCAGTAAGCATGAATTCTGTGTTAAATGATGTTTTTGGGGAGATTCCACTTTTATAGAAACTAAGAGGAGTAATAAGCTTTTAAAGTTTAATGTTAAGAAAGTTTTATGTTAGATGGGAACATGAAGTTTTCAAGTGAAATGAGGGACTTCGGGTTGTTGGATGCCCTAAAATTGCCTTTTTTTGGGATGTCGGAGGAGCCCTAAGATCTTATCTTTTTTATTAGCCTATATATATATATATATATATATTGTGAAAGCCCAAAAAGGCTAATATATTAAATATAAAGAAAAATATAGATACAAAGTGTGGGAGGGCCCAAGCATGACACTCTGCCCACACAAAAATCAGAAATGGTTTCAAAACTAGAAAAAACAGAAGAAGACATTAGATACTTTAAAAAAAGCCTAAAGTGTCGAAATACATAGTATTAAGTGGCTAGAGAGTTTCCCAATTTGGTCTTGTCTCTGCCTCTAATTTTAGGGAAGGAGCAAGTTAATAAGTTAGTAAGATGATTACCATTGCCAGTAGTAACCAATGTATCATCCAATATGATCCCGAGTTGGAGTCTGCCTCCATTATGCTTCTTCCTCCTAGAATAGACCTGTCATTCTACTTCCGAAGAATCAGTCTGATGGGGTGGTAGAGCTGAAGCGGAAGGAATACCAACCGTAGTACCCACAATAGGTTTTAGTATCTGTGAAGTATGAGTTGTCTCTACACCGGATACTTCTTGAAGGAGTGGAGCTACGAGATTCTCTTGATTATCAGTCTGAAAACTATCATTTCTAGGTAATAGTCCATTAGTATTGTTTTCTATGGGGTTTGAAAGTGCCAACATCACATCACTCGCAGTAACAGTAACAGAAGTGTCATGGGGGGTCCTCAGGGACAACAGACACCTCCTGTCTGGTAGTATTCTCCCCAAATGGAACTAAAATGTCCAGAGCAGTGGGTTTAGACCCATCCTTATTCAATTGAACCTTAGATTTCAAATTTGGATGAAACTTGTGACATTTATCAAAGATATGACCAAACATCACATGACCAAATATCTTACAGTGTTACAGTGGGTACAATATGGAGGTTTGTGCTCCATAATGATTTGTTGCCAATAACCATTATGGGTTGTGCCCAGCTAGAGTTTAGTAACATCAGGTAAAGTAATACCCATTTTCACAAGTATTCTGGCTACCGAGGGTCTGGCTAGGTTGAAAGCAGACAGATCTAGTTTCAAAGGATCCCAAAGGATGACCCCAATATAGTAGAAAACCTGATGGTGAAAAAAATGCAGCTTAAGACCAGGTAAACTAAACCATACCGGTACAGTGGGAGTTTCATGATTTGGGTCAAAATTAGGAGACCACTTGAGTAACTTCCTTGATTTGCTAGGAGACCATTTATTGGAAAAAATTTTGGTGTACTCTTCAGCCACTGCTAGTTGGATCAACAAATGTCTCTCATTCATGAGACTCACTTTTCACTTACCTATTAGCTTAAGATCATCAACACTCTGATAACTTCCATAGGATGGTGTCTCCATTGAAATTTTTCAATGAGAGCAAACTTGAATTTTTCCGTCATTGCAGAAATTTCTGATTCAGAGAAAAAAATTATTGTTTTTCCACCTTTCCTACTTCCTTAACAAAAGGACAATCATCTATACCCTCGCAACATTTCTTATAACTTGAGGGAAATACCACAGCAAACTCCACCTGTGGACTCCACCTGAGGGTTACCTACCACATGGGCAAATGAGACTTTATCCGGCTCAACCAAAGAAGAAAGAAGCGCTATCAAAGCAAGGAGAGCTGTCGGAGTTAAGCTGCAGCGAGGTTCCTGACAGAAAGAGTCGGGCAGGATGCCAGAAGAAAGCTTCAGTCGGGCAGGCTGCGAGCAGACATGCGCGTCCTTCTGCAAGATGACGTGCGAACCGAAAACGTTTGTCGGGTAGGAAGGCGAATGCGAGCAGAGAGGCGTGTGTTGGTTAGGAGATGACGTGCAAACAGGAAGACGTCGTCGTCTTCGGGCGCCTGCAAGACGAAAACGTCTGTCGGGCAGGAAGGCGAATGCGAGCAGAGAGGCGCGTCGTCGGTTAGGAGACGACGTGCGAACAAGAAGACGTCGTCGTCGTCTTCGGGTAAGGCGAACATAACGACATCGTCGGGCTGGAGAGACGACTTGCGAGTTTAGATGGAGAAAAGAGTATATATATATATATATATATATATATATATGTGTGGGTGTGTGTATTATGCATTTTAGAAGAAGAATAATCTATATTTGTTTGTATATTTCTTTAAGCAGAAGTGGTCTTACTAATGTGAAAATCATCTGATTCTATTTTTGATTAAACTGGTTGCCATAGTTTTTTGTACGGACTTGAAAACTGGGTGCTGATGCTTGCGGTAGTTTAGTGCTAACTAAAGAGAACTGAACATTTTCTACTAAAAAATTGCTTGATAAGACTAGATGATTTCTTAGTCTGGAACTACTTTAGTCTAATTGTTCTAGCTGATATGATTTTTATTGTGGGAAACTGCTTATTACTGGAAATATATTATCGATTCCATACTTTTTGCTTATCATGACTGGATCAGGCAACATTTTGCTGATTTTTTTTTTTTCTCCAAGAGGTGCATACCTAGGGAAAGCTTGGATGAACTCTTCGTGATCCATACGGTACTTTCTAAAACTTATCCAAATGACTTCTTTGTCCCCCAAGGTTTCTTTCAGAAGCTAGAGTATTTTTTTTTTCTTTAGTTGAACAATAAGGCATACAGAGTTCTTTTTTTTTCTGCTTTGGTTTTATTTTAATGCTCCAATACCAAGTTAAAAAAAAAAAAGAACAGAAAGGCTTTCTTTTTGTAATTTCATTATTTGAATATGCTTACTCTTGGAGATGCAAAGCCAAACAAATTGAGTCAGTTCTCTATTCTTTGCTCCAAACATATGCGTTTGCTGAATTGTATTCTGATGAAATGTGGCATTTTTTTAGTTTATGTTAGTCTCTGACTTAATTATTTGGTGGCTCTATCACAGAAGCTCCACAACTACCCATAAAAACTCATTTATGATTCTACAATGAGAAATTTTCTGCCTGTGTAGTTTTTGAGAGGGGAAAAATAATTACTCCTCTTCAATTTCATAGAAAATGATTACAAAATAAATAGAGAGGGATGACTCCATCATTAGGAAAACAATAATATCAGTCATAATTCTCCATGATAAAAAGAAGGAAACAAGAATTATGACATACCAATAATCTAATTTCTAAAAATTGAAAATACTAATAATAGAATACAAGAATAATGACATATTAATAATTTAAATTTTAAAAATAGAAAATGCTAATAATACAATAACAACAACAAAACCTTAATCCCACTACGTGAGGTCGGCTAAAAATGCTAATAATAGAAATTCTAAAAATCCAACACCCTCCTAAAGTTGGAGCATAGATATCTATCATGCCCAGGTTGATTATATGACTCAAAATTAGGCCTGAACGGTTCTTTGGTGAAAATATCCGCTATTTGTTGAGCAGTAAAGATAAATGACATGTAAATAGCTCCACAATCGATCTTCTCTTTTATGAAGTTCCTAGCAATCTCTACATTGTTTGTGCGATCATGTTGCATTGGATTTTTTGCAATGCTTATGGCTGTTTTATTGTATCTTTATAACGTCATTAGCATGCTTATCGGGATGTACAACTCTTCAAGAATTCCTTTCAACTATAACATCCCATATACTCCATTTTCCATAGCTCTATATTCTGCTTCAACACTACTCCTTGCAACCACATTCTATTTCTTACTTCACCATGTAAGTAGATTTCCTCACACAAAAGTGCAATTAACATAAATTGATCTTCTGTCAATGAATTAGCTTGCTCAATCTGCATCAGCGTATGCCTTTATGCTCTTTTGTGTGGTCTTCTTAAAGAGTAAAGCTTTACCCGGTGTACCTTTTAGATATCTGAGAATTTTCTTGATTGCTCGAGATATTTTTCATAGGGCGAATTTATAAATTGACTTGCCAAACTCACAACAAAGGCAATATTTGATCGTATATGTGATAAATATATCAACTTCTCAACTAATATTTGATACCTAACTATATTCATTGGATCACATTCCTTTCCATCTCTTAGTTCTTGATCGGAATCAATTGGAGTGTCTGCATGTCTACACCCACTTATCCCAGTTTCTTTGAGAAGATCAAGAACATACTTTCGTGGGGAGTCAATTATTTTTTCTTTGATCGTGCAACTTCCATGTCAATGAAATACCTCAGATATCCTATTTCCTTAGTTTCAAAAATAGTTGATAAGAAAGTATTTAAACAGTTCTTCTCATACGCATCATTTTTGGTAAAAATAATATCACCCACATACACAATCACTATGACTATCTTTCAATTGTTTGACTGTCTAAAGAAAATTGTATGATCTCCCTGCATTTGAGCATACTCCTGACTTTTAACAAATAGTGTAAATTTCTTAAACCACTGTCTCGGTGACTGCTTCAACCTGTTTAAGAATTTTTTTAGTTTACACACATTTGTGCAAACCTTCTCACTAAATCCTCGAGTTGTATTCATATACCTTTTTTCTCGAAGTTCCAACTTAAAAATACTTTATATCTAGCTGTTGTAGTGACCAATCAAGATTAGCTGTAAGTGACAGAAGAACCCTTACAAAGTTTAGTTTTGTGTTTAAGGTGAATGTCTTTAAATAACTAATGTCATATGTCTGAGTGAATCTCTTGACACCCAATCGAGCCTTATACTATTCTATGGAGTCATGAGAATTATATTTGATTGTAAACACCTATTTGTATCCAACAATTGCCTTTCTTCTAGGTAGATTAACCAATTCCCATATGCCCTTTTTTAAAGAGCTTTCATCTTCTCGAAAACAACCTTATTCCACTAAGGGACTTTCAGAGCATCTTGCACAGTACTCGGAATATCCATACACAATAATTGTGAGATAAAACACAGAAATTGGGTGAGAGGTTTTCATATGACACATAATGAGACAATGGATTTTGGATGCATGACATTTCTCCAACAGGAAGGCTATACTCATTAGACTCAAGATTCAAATTAGGCTCAGATTCAAGACTAGAAGACTTATAACTCAAAGATGAAGTGGACTGAATAGGAAATAGAGGATTAGTGAGGACATTACCTGGCAGGTTCGCGGATTCTGTGCAATGTAAAGGATCCTCTCTTGCGAGTAGACAATATTAGTCTTACTGTTACAGTTCTTTTTTCTGTTTATTCTTTGTTATGAGCATCTTTAGATGACATTGTAGGAATTTTAATATCTAAAATACTCGATGCGCTCTCTTCTGATATAATATTGTTTGATTTTTTAGTTTGAACAATCAAGGTTGGGGATATACTATTTTAAGAGTCGTTAATTTGGAGAAAATCTTGGAACTTAGTAGACAATTCTTTGTTTGTCCCCTCCCTTAAAGATGATGAGAAAAAAAAGGGGTTGTAATTCAAAAAATGTGACATCCATGGTAACAAACATTTTCTTAGAATTGTGATAAAAACATTTATATCTTTTTTTGCTATGAGCATAACTAACATGCATACTTTTTTCAGCTTGGAGTTCAAGTTTTACTTAGATGATGAATGTGAATGAAAGCAATACACCTAAATTTCTTTAGATGTAGAGAAAATGTGAGTTGATTTTTTGAAATTTTTCTTTTTTGAATGACATTAAAAAATTTTCCAAAGTTTAGAACCTTATTGGGTGTTTTATTTATGAGAAATGTAGCAGTAAGAATGGTTTCATCACAAAGATATTTTGGCAGATTATTGATAAGTAATAATGCCCAAGCTATCCCCAATATATGCTTATTTTCTTCTTCCAACAACGTCATTTTATTGTGGAGTGTCAGCACGAGAGTTTTGATGAATTATTCATTTTTTGAAAAAAAATTGAACCAAAATATTTATCAAATACTCTTGGTCATTATCACTTTATAATATTTGAATGATTTTGAAATTATGTACCATGGTTTAAAAGTTTTTAAAAATTATTTTTACTTTCGATTTTTCTCATTAAATAAACCCAACTTAACATAGTGTGATCATCAATAAAAGTCACGAACATTTTTTTCTCAAAATAATAAGGGCTATGAATAATAGTAAATGGTGTAGTCAGTTTTTATATTTGTGGAGAAAATGATGCACTATAATGTTTAACAAACTGATTAAATTCACATTGTAACAAAGATAATTTTATTCTGAAATAATTTGGGAAACAAGTATGTTAGATAATGAAAATTAGGAAGACCTAACCTATAATGTCATAACTTAATTTCATTATTTTTTTAAACATAAACAAAATTTAAAATAGTATTTTGATATTATCTATTTAAGTCTATCATCAAAATAATAAATATCTTTCTCCTTAGCATTGCCAATCATCGTCCGCGTGGTCAATCCTTAAAACTCACAATAGGAAAAATATAATTTAGCATGATCATTAGTAATTTTACTAATGAACTAGTTGTACGATAGATTTGAACATGGAGAACATCATGAAAGGTTAAAATGAGGAGAGTTTGACAGTTCCTATCTTGGCAATTACCGATAGTGAACTATCGATAATTTTGATATTTTATTGCCTGCATAAAGTCTATAGAAGGAAAATAATTTAAAAACACATGTCATGTGATCACTTTTGCCAGAATCAATTATCCAAGAATGTGAAAAATTAGGAATAATATCTAACAAAGCGTTGCTAAAGATTTACCCTTCTATACTAACGAGCAAGACGAAGCTAGAACAATTTTGGAAATTGAAATAATTTATGTCAAGTGCTTTAATTGCTCCTAGGTGAAAGGAACCGTATTCAAGTTAGAAGGGCGGATCTTAAGTTTCTTCAGTAGTAGCTTGACAAGCTTGACCTTCACGTTTGGATTTTGAATTCCAATTTACAATTTTACCATGAAACTTTCAACATGTCTCATTTATGTGCTATGACTTTTTGCAATGCTCGCACCATGGTTCATTGCGCCTTTCTTTGTCAGTATCAATCTCTTTTGACACAAAAATTGAGTTCTCTTTTTCAATGTTACTAGAAGATTTGGTGTTGCACTTCTTAGTTTTTCTTCAAGGCTATTCACATATAATTTTAGAAAAATTTTCTCGAATCGAGGGTAGAGGTTTCCTACGAATGATTCAACCTTGGATTTTGTCTAAAATCCAATTAAGACTGGCCAAGAACATGTAGACCTGATCATTTTTTCCTCTCTTCTTGTGGTGGGCATAAGCATTCTAATTCTTCAAAATGCCATTATAACAATGATCAAGCTTCTGCCATAATGTTACAAATCCATTGTAATATGTATTAACATCACATTAATTTTGTTTGGATTTTCAATTTTGAGTTTTCAACTAAAAAAATTTTGAAGATTTTTCCAAGTTTGAATAGGGATCTCGAACAATCTCTCAGATATCTTGAGCATTGGGAAGAAATATATGTCGTTTCTATGGTAGGTTCCATGGAGTTGACTAGTCATGCCACAAGAGAATTTTTGGACTGCCATTTTTTTAGATTTACATCGCTAACAATAGGTTTTTAAATTTCTCAGGTTAAATACCAAAATTTGCCTCTTCTGTCGATCTCCAATTTTATAGATTGGGTCCACTAG